ACCAGCTCCCAGCACTGGCTGAATCTTGGTCATTGATTTCTGTACAGTTACCTTGTTTGTCAGTTGAGCTGGACTTGGAATGGAACCCAGGCTTTGCACATGCCAGGCCAGCACTCTACCACAGCTACATGTCCAGCTCTTGAACTGATACTTTCAAAGAATACTGTAGCAGGTTTGTTTTTTGTTTTGTTTTTTCTAATGACTTTAAATGATATACCAGAATTTTTTTTTTTTGAGGGGTGAATATTGTTTCAAGATAGAGTTTCTCTTGTGTAGCCTCAGCCATCCTGGAACTCACTCTATAAACCAGGCTGGCCTTGAACGAAGAGACCCACCTGCCTCTGCCTTCCCAGTTCTGAACTTAAAGTCATGAGTCACTACCACCCAGCTAATCCAGTGCTTTTACTATATTCTCAAAAAGTGTGCTATACTCACCACTACACAATTCCTCTACTCTTTCTTCTAAGGGAACTCACACCAGTGTCAGTCCAACCCTCCTCCCCCACTTGGCCCTGGCCATGAAGCTACAGATTGTCTGGTCATTTCAGGCACAGAGAATCGTACTATATGCAGCTTATGTCTCACTAAGCATGTTTTAAAGGTTTATCAATGATGTGGTATAGATTGGGCACTTCCTTTTTAAAGTCAAAAGATAGTTCCTGTATAGCTGCTTCAGTATGGCTATCAGCTGATGGACATCTAAGTTGCTTCTATGCTTATTTGTTTGCTATTTCAAATGACTTTGCTTTGGAAATTTGTGGGCAGGGACTTTGGGTAACTGTATAAAGAACCATGTTACCCCACTATCAGCAATGTGTGAATCTTCCAATTTCTCCACTGCCTGACAACACTTGTTATTTTATGTCTGTTTTAACCACAGAGGTGGTCAGTGCCGTGGTTAGTGGATTTTCCCTAATATGTGCTAACATTCATGATCTTAGGTGCTTTTTTGGTCACTTGTGTCTGGTCCTAACAGAAAGGTTTATTCAAATTACAGCATGTGCCCACCAATACTCACACACTTTTGAGTCAGAGTCTCATGCAGCCCAGGTGACCTTCCAATTCTCATGTTCCTTGAGTGCTGGGACAACAGCACATCACCACACCCAGCTGCATGCAGTTTGGGGGATTAAACTCAGAGCTCATTCATCCTAGGCAGGTGCTCCACACTAAGCTAAATCTGCACCCCTGAGGCAGGATTATTTTTCTTTCTGATTGTACCCAGGGACAACCCTGATCTACTTACTGAATATTATCTGAACTACCCAGAAAATATTTTAAGGCTGTGACAACTTCGTCACATACATGCCTGTATGTGACTTGAGCTGCACCTTGAAACACGTCATCCATTCCTAGCTGCTAGGTAGTCAGAGCAACTGGACAAAGCAGCTACTTCATTCGCAAAGAAAACAAAATTCCCCCCAACCCCTCTGTTCCTGACACAGTTCTTGTCTGTGCTGTGGAATAAGGAATGATGAGTTGACAAAAGGCAGAGGCTTCTACCGGATAGTGTAACAATAACAGAAAAAATATATTTTATATTTAGGAAATTAGCAAATGAGACATTCTGAGTAACATAAGCCATTCTAACTAACTACACAAGCTTTAGGCAGTTAAAACAACCGTAGCTTATTGGTTTAAATTAGCAGGTAGATGCCATTACCCAAATCTTTCTCATCATCCTGCATAAGAAAAACTAATAACCACTAAAGAATTATAACTCTGCCAGAAAAGACACCTTGGAACCAGTCATGCAACCCCTTCAGCATCACGTGTCACAAAGGCATGAGGACACAGGTATCTTGAACTGACGGTCAAGGGACCATCCTCTCTCCAAGGCATTCTTGGCCCACCGAGTAATCTTAGGGCTCAACTTCTGTGGGGCCTGTGCTGCTGACATGCTTGGAGAAATATTTCATGGGTGGACAAACCAAACACACTTGGTTTTCTGTCATCACGAGGACTCTGACACTGATCAGCAACACTAATTCACTACAGGCCTTGGGAGGAGGGGGAGTTCCTCAGCTTGTGAACCATCTCAAAACACCTGTGGTGCTCTGATCTGGCTGAGCAACAGATGTCTTGCTGGTTACCCAAGGCCATGGAGAATGAGCAGACAGAAGGCCAAAGGAAGCAGGGCTTGGGTGTTCAAGGATTTCAGTCAGTGACTTCTCCCACAGCTGCCTCAACAGTGTCCCTCTGCAATGTCCTTACATGGAATTAACTCCAAATAAGGTTGATGCTAAATTGTATACCAAAAGTAAGTTCTTCATTAGTGTATTTCCAACTAATAGTCAAGATGGAGTTCTTATGGCTCACAAAGTAAACAAATAATAACAAAGACAATGTTCTCTAAATCCCATGGCATGGCAGACTGAAGAACCCAACAACAGTAAGCAAAACTACAGTGTGTGTGGCCCATGCTGTGCTTGGGACCGACAGCCCAGAGAAATGGGAACTTTAGATCTGGAGCCATCCAATAGTCACCTTACATACGAATGCTGATTTAACCCTTCCCGAGTACTCATTACTCTGCTCATTACAGAGGGATAGCAAATGTTAGTGAATTTAGCAGCATTGGGCAAGGCACTCAACATTTTATATGCTATTTCCTCACGTCAAGATAGTGTTTGTTTCTACAGGGTAGGACAGTCATTATTCCCATATTACAGCTGGGAAAAGTCAGGTTTGCAAAGATGAATTTTCCCAATTACTGCCTGGGCCACTGTCTAGGCAGAGAGACCCTGCTCTCTGTTATCAGCTATTATTCTGGCTACCTTGGTGGTAACCACTTTCCAGAAATTCCCAAGGACCTGATAGGTTCAAGGCATAAGAACTAGATTTAAAGTTTTTCTTTTGGTTCTGGAAATTAAACATGGGGCCTTGTGCGTGTTATGCAAATGTTTTACCTAACCAAAGGTTCTCTCTTCGCTTTTTGAGTTAAGGGCCTAAGTTTCAAAACCAGCTTTGACTTTACTAAACAGCTCAGTATTTGCAGTTCTCCTGCCTCAGCATCCAGAGTAGCTGGGATTACAGGTCTGTGCTACCAACCTCAACTTAGATTTCTCAAGTTATACAGCTATGCACAGGTAGTTTCTGCAGCAATGAACTACAGTATATAGAGCAAATGAGTATATGATTTTACAAGAGCCGTATGCTTTACTATCACAAATAAGTTCAAGTACAGAAGGCTGGTGTGACTAAGTATGGAGGCTGCTTTTCAGCACAAGTGTTGTAGAATGGGCCCCAATTTAGGTTTAAATCCAAACCCTGTAGGAAATTAGCCTAGTGATTTGGGCAACTGTTAAGCCTCTAAATTATCTGTAAAAAGGAGTTACCCTGGGGCTATTGTGAGTAAAAAAAAAAATACGGAAAGGAAAGAACCACAATTGAGAAAATGCTCCATCAGATCCAGCTGTAGGGCATTTTCTTAGTTAGTGATGGATGGGGAGTGATGCCATCCCTGGGTTGGTGGCCCTGGGTTCTTCTGTAAGAAAGCAGGCTGAGCAAGCTATGGGGAGCAACACAGAAAGCAGCACCCTCCATGGCCTCTGCATCAGCTCCTGCCCTGTTTAGTTCCTGCCCTGACTTCCTTCAGGGATGAACAGTGATATGGAGATGTGAGCCAAACAAACCCTTTCCTCCCCAAGTTGGTTTAGTCAAGGTGTTTCCTCACAACAACGGTAACCCTAACCAAGACACAAGAGATGCTATGTTCTTTCTCATTTACAGACGTACAATGTCTGTCTGCCCCATGCTGGTGTGATTAATTCTGATTACTAGCTTAAAGCACTCCCAAGGACTCCCCCTCTCTCCATAGCTGCAATTTTTCTTTTTCTAAATAGTAAACAATTTATGGGGCATCTGTTGAAGATTCTTATTGGATCAACTTTTGCTGCAACAGCTGCGAAATGATAGCTTATCTCCATCATCTCTTCTGTAGATATTTAACAGTCAGCACTACCATAAGAGCTGCCCTGACTCTCCTATTTTACACACTTACTCAACTACTAGCTATATGAATCCTCACTTTCTTTGGTAGATACCTTCAAGTGGTTAAAAATGTCTTTCAAATGCAAGTGACAAGAAACAGCTTGTACTAAAGTCACTGGCGTGGCAAAAATCGATTCTTGGGGCCAAAATAAGTCTGCTAACAGAGGTTTCTGCTTACCAGTGAGATTTTGGGGCTCTGCAGTGAGGACAGCATAAAGCCCTCACAGGACTGTGAGAGATCACCACAGAGCTGCAGCCCTGCTGCTCATCAGACATGATATCACACCCGAAACATTTCATCCTAACAACCCATCTATTTCTTCACAACTAGCAGAGTTGAATGTTTGGCAAACTCCAAAGGACATGATTTACAAATAGTAGGTAATATTTGGACCAGACTGCAAGAGCTGGGCTCCAGCTTTTTAAAGAATAAAATAAAATACAACTGATTTCATGCTTGGAGATCACTGTGTCACTCTGACAACAAACAGTTCCTCCTATCAGAAATTAGGCCAGAGTAATATACAAACAGAAATGGGTTTGTGCTATGGATGTTGTGGTCAGAGACCACACACCAGAGGCTTCCAACAGCTTTGACAGTACTCTTACTGCTGTAAGACGGAAAGGGACACCAGGACTCAAGCCACACAGAGTATGGCAGGGAGTCCTGCACCACTGTGTAAATGAGACCTGACTCTGCACAGAGCACATGTGGCATCTGCTTCCTGGGAATTCTTTCCTATGCCATCCAAACATCCCCCACATTCAAATAAAAGTGTCACACCCTTTGGTATCATTTCATTGAAAATAATAATTTTTTTAAAGCACTTTGCAAACTGGGCATTCTATACACAACTATGATCTCACTGAGGCAGAAGGACTGAGTGTTTGAAGCCAGTCTCAGCTACACAGTAAAATACTGCTTCAAGAAATAAAATGTCTTGCACAAATTAAGACTTATCACCTTGCACTGGGAGCATTTTTGGGGGAGGGTGTTGAACACTTACCAGGAAAAGTCTGGGGACACCGGTGGCCAGTCTCTCTGTCTTCAGATGCCAGACCAGGGGCTGTGGGGAGTTGAGCAGGAACACAACAGGCTTGCGGTGAATGTGCACTGAGGAGATGGGGTTCAGATGCAGCGTAACCTAGGAGACAACAAGAGTAAGGAGAGGGCTTAGGGCTGATTCCCCAGTACCCAGGGAACACCCAAATACTTACAACTCACTACAAAGAGTGCCATAAAATGATCCCAAAGTCAATGTAGATGATGCCATACGAGGTTGAATTAAATGCTGCTAATGCCCAACCATTGTTCTACTACCTGGCTGTGTCACAAGGTCAGTCAGTCTCACTAAACTAAAACATGGCTCAACCACTAAGAATGGAAAATGAGTAAACAGAACACTTTCTTTTACCCCATACTGGTAGCATACCTCAGGGATTCCTCATCCTTCAACTCAGAAAACTAAGCTGAAACTACAGAACAGAATCTTCTAGGGGTGAGTTTTCCCCCCTAGGCCCACACAGAAAGGACTCTCCCAGGTGACTTCCAATCTCTACAAAGTTAGGTGACTTCTGCCAAAGAAAACCACTGAATTCGAAAAAAGTCAGGCTGCCAAGGGGAACTGCTTTCCTCCTGGTAGCACAAAGATCAGATAAAACAAACAATGACTATATAAAGGTGCTAGAGAGATGGCTCAGCAGTTAGGAACACTTGCGGCCCTTGCAGAGGACCCAACTTTGGTTCCCAGAACCTATGTGCCATCCCTCAATCACCTGAGGCTGCAGCTCCAGAGGGTCCAGCGCCCTCTTCTGGTTTCAGATGGCTCCTGCACACATATTGCAAACACCTGAGTTTGTACAATTACCAAAGCACGGCATAAAAACCCAACGGTTTGAAACTTCCCCATGGCTGCTGACCCAAGTTGATCTCTCTAACTTCTTTTCTTTTGTTTCTTTTTTTTCTGCCTCTCTTCAAGGGACAATCAAGAACCAATTTCATTCATTACACTGCCAAAATTATGGATAAGTAAAGCACCAAACTTATTTAAAAAAACAAAAAACATGGTTTTTTAAAATGCCATTTCTTGATGCATATCAGCTACAAAAAGTTTGCACATATAATAGTATTACTGTTAACTACTGAGTGTGCCTGTGTTAATTTCCACAGAAAGATGCATCATGAATTGAGTACTGTTATCAGTATCTTGCAAGCAGCAACATACTGACTCACTGTAGCCAATCTTTAAATGTATATATAACCCAAAAGACTAAAAAAAAGGCTAAAGAAACTGCTAAGTTCAAAGGGGTTTAGCTAGTTAATTTGTAGCAAAATACAAAAACCCAAACAAGAGTGCTATTTCTGTACACAGGACCATTTTTAGACTTGGAGTAAGCACAGCACCAAATCAAAGTACTAAATGAACTGTGATGTCAACCACAGCTACAGCAAAATAATGTGTTCCTTGGTTGTCCAGACACACAGAACACTCTGGAGTCACTGTCTTCATTTAGAAATAGATTGATGGCCATAAGACACAAGAGATGGGGTTGAAGCAGAGCAGAGGCAGATATCCAGACTGCATCACTTCCTGGACACAGAGATGCACAGGGCAGGGAAAGCATGCTATTAAGAGGGAGGGCAGGAGGGGCAGCTTCAGCACCTGCAAACAACACAGCTTCACAGACTTTTGCTAACAGCAAGTGGTCAAGTATGGTGTCCCTGTTGGCTCACTGAGAACCATCAAGGTCCAAAGAATAACAACTGTACACTTTTCCTTAAAGCTCCTAAATATGCAAAAGCTTTGCTCAAAATGTATAAAATCAATAAATACATATCTCAAATGAACAAGAATATTTTAAAGCTCATGAAATGAAATGTATGAAACAGATATTAGAGCTTGAGTCCAAAGTTTCCCAGATGGTCTAAGTGTCGAGGCTTGGCTCCAACAATCAAGGGAAGATTTCTAAGAAGCTTAGCTCCGAGTTTTCCTGGAAACGGCTCCTTCTTCAATATGTGGCCATGTCTGGCCAAGATGAATCTCTCACTCTGGCACAGATGTCCCAGGCAAATCCCCAAAGCCATTTGGCAAAGAAGAATTCACACTATGGTTGGGAAATTAAAAGAAAAATACTTAATACTATTTTGGTTTTTTTGTTTGTTTGTTTTGTTTTTTTGTCTTGATTTTTGCCATTTGGCAGGCACAGAGTCCCATGAGCTCAGGCTAACCTAATCCTCTGAAGCCTTCTCCTCCCATTCTTTCTCCACCCGAGCAAACCTTACAGAAGGGAGGATGCAGACAACCAGAACCCAGTACAAGCAGGAAGGCATAAAAGCTTCTTGGGATGTGAGAACACAGCCCAAATATCTTAAAGAACCCTGGCTAAATCACCTCATTTCTTCTAGGATGAAAAACAGAAAAAGAGACAAAGAAGGTAGAAAAATGAAAACCTTTAGGATCAGTTATGGCTTAGAAGTGACAGTAATTACAAACCAGACGTGGTGATGCACACCTGTAATCCAGCACTGGGGGGGGGATCAAAGGTTTAAGCCACCCCCCCAATAAAAAATAATCCTGCAGAAATTTTTATAGTTAGATTGTCGTTGGTAGTCTAGAGAGCTAAACCCAGGCAGACATCAACAAAGAAATATCCCTCTGGGAAATATGAAAGGCTGTATGCTGCAATCTCTAGGAAATCCAAACAGTAGTTTACCTTCAATTCTTTATCCAATTCACATGTTATGAGCTTCAAAAGTATTGGAGTGGGGGAACTCAATGGAGGGTTGGGAAGGTTAAGGGGACTAGCAGGAAGCCTCCTACAAAGGTGTTCTATAACTGGGGTTTGATCATTTTGAGCGTTACATAGCTTTGAGAACACAGTGGAGTATGACCCCCCCCCTTCATATGCACACAAAATAGTCACAGCACATAAAACTTTGTGCTAATTCGAGAGGAATGCACCTAGAACCCAGGTGAAGGAAACCACTGCACAAGAACAGGAAAATTCTAATGGTGAAACAGAGGCAATACGGCTTTATCTTATTGAACTACTGTTGTACTTTAAGAACAGCTTGAGAGAAAGATGGAATGCAACAAGGTTCAAGAAGAGGGTGTTTTTGTTTTTGTTTTGTTTTTTTAATTAGGGAAAGGGTTTTTGTTTGTCTGTTTGTTTGTTTGTTTGTTTTAATTAGGGAAAGGGGGAGACCAGACTCCAGGGACAGGAGCAGAAGAGAGGAAAGGGGGTGGAGTCAGGAGAGAGAAGAGAGAGAGAGAGAGAGGTGGGCAGGGTCTTTTTAAAAGGGAACATAGTGGATGTGCACAGGTGGTGCTCTAAGTGGTGTGAGCTGAGGATGTATCCTGTCAGGATCCCACAGGCTGACCTGTACAGAAGCCTGAATACTAACAACTAGGACATACAAGTTTACTCTCAAGAGGTTCTCCTTCCAGGGAACAACTTAATAGATGACAACACGGATTAGTGTCTAGAGTTTCTGTTCTCTCCTCACTTCAAACTCACTCTTCAGGAAGCCCCGGGATCCTGCTCTAAACTTGCATGTGTCAAACTGTACTGAATGGTCCACAGTCCCGGTGCCAGAGGAAACTACAAGTAAATCTCTGTCACACCTGGACACATCTCCCTGACCCTCCATGAGGAGGGACAACGCTGGTCTAGTCAGCCTGCATTGCCTCCCTGCACCGAGGTTATCTGTGTCCAGACATTCCTGATGCAGTTTGATAAAGAGACTCAAGGCAGAGGCAGGAACATCCTTGGAGACCCTACACAGCTTCATGGAGCCTCTGGATGGCACTGCTTGGGAGATGTGCCCTGATCCATACACTGTGAGAAAAGGATGATGTCCTCTGGCCCTTGAGATGGAGAAACCACCTCTATTCTCTTTCTCTTTTCTTTCCTTCTTTCCCACCTTCCTTCCTTCCTTTGGGTGGAGGGTAGGGTCAAACTGTGTAGTTAAGGCTGGCCCTGAACTCACACACACACCAATCCTCCTGCCTCAGCCTCCTGAGTACTGAGATGTCTGGTATGTGACCAACACCCATCTGGCTTGTCCATTTTCTGAATATTACACTTGATAAGAAAAAGCAGAACACATTTTTCTCATATTCTAAAAGTCACTATGAAAGCAAACTATGTACAGGTAGAAAAAGAATCTTACTCTTTATGGAAAGATGTCATAGAAAAATTGTTTTGAGTTTCCTGGAATTCATAGCCTACATGCAAGGCATTCTTATCATAGAGATTTCAAAAGATTTCTTATTAGAATGGCCCTACCCCCTAACTCCTAGGGTTTATTAAAACAAACAAAGCAACAGTGATCACAGCCACTGATGTGTGAATCTAATACTTGTCCAATTTTGCTAACATGTCACTGAGGTTTTATTCCAACATTCCTGAGTCTAGACTCCTGCCCCACATGGACCAATGAAGGAATGAAGTCATTTAAAACCTGTCCCTGGGTGATTTCCATTATCTGAAACCAAACCAAGTAATGTTCAGTTCACACTAGAGATAAGAGAACTTGAGCAGTGTACCCATAACCAAGATCTGTGAAAGCAGGGGATGTTCTGTACCCCTACCCTGTCCCCTCTGCTGAGCCAAGGAGGCATCACCCAACAGTGCCATAACAGAAACTTCTTGAGTCTTCCCCTCCCAGCACCCAGATGTTACATAGAGAGACATAACTGTTTCAAGACCCCCAAATGGTTCTGAAATATGTACCTGACTGCTGGGAAAGGAAACTGTATTAACTAATCAATGCTAGAGTGTTTTAAAGGGTCTGATAGCTGACATTGTAGCTGCCATGCTTGTCTTCCACCATTTGGGAATTGGTATAAAAAGATCCCTTAAAACATTTTTGGAAGGGTAGATTTAGAGTTTTGTTTAAGAGAGAAAAAAAAAAAGTCCCTTAGAAATTTTTTTATACAACAGTGAATTTCTAAAACAACAGTTGATCCCGAATTCAAGGTATCCAAACCTCTGAGTGCCCCACCCCCAGGGAATTATGGTACCACCTTCCCATCTAGGGAAGCACCAAAGTTAAGACATCACACTGCATGACAGATGACATCGAGTCACTGGTGTTTTCTTCTTGAAGCCACTTACTGAGCTGGGAGGAACGTAGTCAGTG